AAAAATGTCACATGATCATGATTTTAATAGCTTTTGGGGGGTGAAAATTCAATTTGTGATGCAAAAATGATCATTCCCACATAATCGTGAATCACAATATCTGTCAAAATAATCTGTGTCATAAAAATGCATGAATGCCACCACGACGCTCCTCTGCCCATACAGCGGACAAACCCACCTCAAAGGGGGGCGATACCCCCCGCGAACGCCGCGGCATTTGACAAGAAAAACAACAACGAGAAGATGAAACCTGCCTCCTGCACGCAGGGCGAAAAGACGGCAACAACGGGGGCCTAATCTAAAGGCATTGTCTGAATTCCCAGTCGGAGCGATTTGCAGAACAAAGGCCGGCTTGGTCCCCTCGGACGGCCCGGGACGGGACATCACTGTGATCTCCGCCTGGTAATTCCCTCCCCGGGTCCCGTCCGGGGTGACAGGCGCTGCGAACAGACAGGTCAGCGGGGTGAGGGCTGTCGCTGAGCGGCCTCTTCGTTTTTGCTCCGCTCGGCGGTGGTGAGGTCGTCGTAGAAAATACCAAATAAATAAAATGGGTAAAAAGAAACAGAGAGCTGTGACAAACCGAGGGTACCGTGGCCTCACCGGACAGCCACACAAGCGGACCCATGTCTCCGCAGCATGCGTCCGGAGCGGCGGCGGCGGACGGACCGACCGTCTCCTCTCCTGCAGCGGGTTTGTCTCCGCTGTAGCGCTTTACTTTCCCCTACCGGAGGGTCGCCTTGAAACCGACGCACCGCGAGGAGGAGGGACCGGAGAACTGGGAGAGGGGGGTAACATGGGGCAGCTTGAAACCGCCTCAGATTTTTTTAATCAACATTTTTTGCAACTATGTAACGCGGAGCGGGTTACCTCAAAGGAAATGTACGGATCATAAAAATCCGCGAGTCAGACAGTACTGTGCACGAGGTCATGTGAGAGGGGTAAAGGTCGACCACCCCCACTTTCTGAATTTGAACATAATGGCACTAAATGGGTACGCCACTTTTTCTCCTCTTCTAATGCAAATGTGTGTGTGTGTCCGCGCTGAGACTCGACGCAGATTAAACACGGAGACATCCAGCGTTGCTTCACCTATACAGCCCTTGTTTTGGGGCATTTGCATACCGAAAGCCGGCCATTATTCCTCGCTGAGGACTGGTGTGGGCAATCTAAACTGTTATGAAGGCGACAACTATGATAAGTGTCGCTTTCCCTGGCTGATATGATAAAGGTCTGCCTGCAGAGCCGCCATATAGTGCTGAGAGATGTGGCCCCAGCTCGGAGGGCCTAACAATAATATATATATAGCCTACATACAATTACATTTAATGATGCGGCATTAACAAAATACTTTTACATACATAAATATAGACTATATTATCTCTGTCTATATATGAATATATATAGGCTATCATATTCTCTTTGTAGCATAATGCACATTAAGTGCTAACAAACTTTATTTTATTAAAAAAATATTATTATTGTATAGACTTCTTCTCAGCCTGCACTGGAGACTGTGATGAGTGCATGGACAGCTCGGTCGGTTGTCAGACCTAAACTTAATGCTAATCTATATTTTTTGGCTCATTTTTCATTTTCCTGTAACCATATATCAGGGATGATGAGCCTATTATGGTTTGGTTTGCCCGTGGGGGAAGCAACGCCCAAATGATGTTCGCTCAAATGAAATTGAATAATTCAATTAGAATTAACTGATTGCCATCTCAAGTTTTACTTTTCAGCACATTTCTTTCCCTTTGGCAGAGGTCTTTTGGTGTAATGGAAAGGTTATTTACTGACTTAAGTAATAAACTGCCGCTTCCTAGTGAGAAAAAAAGTAACTAAATAAAAAAAAAAAAATAAATAAAAAAAAAAAGCAAT